GACCTGCTCCCCGTAGATACCCCTAGGCGGAGGGCTGAACAGAGAAGGCGCACTTCCTAGGTCCTAAGAGATGACGCTGTTTAATCAAGAGGGCTTGACAGGGATTATACCAGAAGCTAAACCTAAATGGAAGTTACAAATGGCAAAAACTGAGTTCCTGCAAGAGGTTGAGCCAAAAGAAAAGACACAAACCTCATCGAGGTAAGGCGCTAAATACTTTTCCTCCCTCAAAGATCTTCAACACCCTCTCTCCCTTGCATTTATCACTCATGTTGCTCTACCTGAAGTTCCCAATCCATCTTACCATATCAAAATAGTGTTTGGTTGTCAAGCAAACCGTCTTTCACAGTAGCAGCTAGTTAAGAGTCAGGCTGGGAGCAATTGCATTGCAACCAACTGGGTGGAGGTTGGGGGGGCTGTTGAGCAGGGGAAGAGAGAAGTCACTCTTAATGTTGCTTAGTGACAGCGATGCTGTCGCCTCGGTTACCCAGATTGAGAAGTGCAAGAGAATGCCATAGACAGAAGTTCTTTTTGCCTTGCGTGTCTCGAGCAAACACGGAAACAGGTGACTGGGACACCAGTCTGGAGTAGCAGATAGCCCTCACCCCTTCCTAGTCCTAATACTTGTGTTGAGAAGAAGCCAAAGAAACCTGCCATTTGTTTTTCCCTGTAAGTGCCCAACTTTGCTTTAATTTGCTTTTCTTTCGTTCGTTCTTTCCCTCCCTCCCTTGAACGTCTTTGGAGTGAGTGTGGAGCACTTCCTAGTTCCCAAAGATGAGAGAAGGTGTCTTTCTACCTGGCCTGAGTTTGGAGGGATGTTTGACAAATACACTCAGTGGGTCCTCTAATGAAAGAAAATTAGAAAAATGTGCTAACTGGATCGTAGCATAATGGGGTTTTGGTTTGAATGTCATTTGGTATGCTTCCTCTAGATGTTTAAAGCCAGGATAAGGATCTATTTTGGGAAAGATCATTGATCTAACTGATATTTTGGAAGAAAAGGAACAAGGATATCCAAAGAAATATTCATCATGAATCCAAAGGAGATTACCAAGATTCTGAGGGTAAGTGTGAATAATTGTCATGTGAATATTGACTAGATTTGCCCATCATGTCAGAAACATAATCCTGTTTCTGTGATGTAGGCTTACTGTCTTACGTGAACTCAGCAATTCTGATTTATACACCTTGATTTATAACACAGGCTTGTGTAAAGCTAGTGAGTTTCAGCTTTTTCATCAAACCATGATTAAACAATGGCATAGTTTGAGGTGTGTGTCCTATCAGTGTGTTTTAAAGGGAAAGGATTTGAAAACTGCACAAAGAGCATCCTTTCCTGGTTAAAGGTCCTTAATTATCCTTGCAGTTGTGAGTTTTTGTGGCTTTAAAAGGTAGGCAAGACTTCCCCTTTGTGAAGGGTGTTGTTTTTTAATATGGGTACACCATGGATTAGGAGATGAATTTTGGCAGTAAAGAAGCCATTGCTTCAGAAACTTACATTTTTAATAGCTTCTGTCTCTTTGCATCTTGACCACCACTTCTTCAGGGCTCTTTTTCTAGAAGAAAAAAATAAAATGCTATGATATGGAACTTCTGGAGAAAAGTAAGACAGTAATCACATTGCAGATGCTGGACAACAGCTCTTTTAATCTGGTGTCTTCAGAGGTGTTGGATAAAAGCTCCCATGATTCCCAGCTTGATCAGCACATCTAGAAGGACCAGGCTGGAGACAAATGGAGATGGATCTTCTCCCTTGGGCATCCAGAGTAGCTGCTAGCTTAGTTGTGCTAAGACATGGTTTAACTGTGGCTTATTGGAAAAAAGATAACAGTCTGTTTATAAACCATAACACGGTGCTTAGAAACATGCTAAACCCAAACTAAAGAAATTATGTTATTTCTGAGCATGAAATGTGCCACCAAGAATGGCTTATTTTGCAGGAGGGGGCTCTAAAGTCTGTAAAACTGGATCTGGGGTTCTCCGTATGGGCACCTCTGCCTAATTTTACTCTAAAATAACATGATGGTTGGTCACACAATCAGCCAGATGTTTAGACCGGATTTAGCATTTTTATCCACCTGTCAAGTCCTTCCCAAGGACCTGGGATAGGCAGATGTTGTTTGATGGAGTTAAAGGTATCGTCGCAGGATATAAGCTACTCCAGGTAAAGCTGTCTTTTGCAATTGACTGATGGTGATTTTGTCAATGCTGATGGTCTTCAAGTGGTGCTCCAGAAGTTTTGGGATTGCACCTAAGGCACCTATTACTATTGGTACTATATTTTTATCCACCTGTCAAGTCCTTCCCAAGGACCTGGGATAGGCAGATGTTGTTTGATGGAGTTAAAGGTATCGTCGCAGGATATAAGCTACTCCAGGTAAAGCTGTCTTTTGCAATTGACTGATGGTGATTTTGTCAATGCTGATGGTCTTCAAGTGGTGCTCCAGAAGTTTTGGGATTGCACCTAAGGCACCTATTACTATTGGTACTATCTTTGATCTATTATTGTTATTGTTGTTGTTATATATTTTATCCCCCCTTTTTTATATACAACTCAAGGCGGTGAATATACCTAATATTTCTGCCTCCTATTTTCCCCAAACAACAACCCTGTGAGGTGGGTTGGGCTGCCGATCTATTCAAGAGTCTGTATGAAGAGAATCATAACCTCTAATTTTTTTCAGTATTCCAATAAACCATATTAAGCTGTACATTATAGAAAGAAAGCTATGAGCTATTTGGCAAACCTTTAAATTCTGCAGTAGAAGAGGTGGTTCATTGTCCACCATTTGGATTCAGGGTTGTATTCATTACTTTCTGAAAATGTTTCTGAACTGATTCTTAATTTAAAAACCCCAGGCTGTCCTTTATTCAGCCCAATTTAAATGCAGGGTGGCAGTGGCAAAAATGGGGTTGTGGACTGCAATGTCATTGTCTAGATACACTTGTGTACTTTCTTGAAGCTTTCCCCTCCCCATATTTTTAGACACAGACTGATTCTATCTATACTATGAGTCATGCGAAGCAGATACCCGAACTGCCACCTTTGCCTGCAGAAGCGGCTTTGGAACCCTCTCAACTGTATCAGGTCGGTTCTTACACGCTCATTAGAATATAGTTACTACAGGAAAGCACCTTAAGAACAATACAGGTAGTCCTTATTTAGCGACCACAATTGGGACCGGCAGCTGTTGTTAACCAAAGCATTCGTTAAGTGGGAAATCATGTGACCGGGCTTTCCTTTTCCCCATTCCCCTGCCCTTTGGAATGCCCATCCCTCCGGCACTGGGATAGCTGGCTCGAAACTGATAAGACTAATCAGTTTCAAACCTTCCACTTTTGTTTGCTTCCTAACCACTCCCCCCTGGAATGCTCACTCTGGTGCTGGGATAATTAGCAAGAACGGAATCAACGTTTGTATTTACATTCATTGGAGAGGAAGGGATTTTAAGAGAGTAAGCAGGCACACAATGGGGAATACACATTGAAAGAAAGTTGCAAGCGCACTATGCAAAGAGCCCAGTGTATTCCCCATTGTGTGCCTGTTTACTCTCTTGTAACCCTTTCCTCTCCAACCTCTCCACTCTGCAAGGAGGGGAGAAGAAAAAAAAGGGTCAGACATAAGAGAGATTGCTTACAGAGATCACTTGGGTTTTTTTCTTTTGTCCCCAATGTCTCCTATGCCTGACCTGGTTTTCTTCTCCCCACACCCTCACAGAATGGAGAAATTGGAGAGGAAGGGATTACAAGAGAGTAAACAGTCATATAATGCAGAATACACATCAGAAGGAATGCGGTAGCACTGGCAGTCCCGAGCATGCTAGGCAAAGAGCCCAGTGTATTCCACCTTGTGTGCCTGCTTACTCTCTTGTAAGTCCTTCCTTTCCAATCTCTCCACTCTGCAAGTGGGGAAAAAAGAAAACAGGTCAGGCACAGGACAATGCATACTGACTGTAATGCCAAGCACATGACTGAGGGACGCTGCGAAGGTTGTAAATGCAGGCATTGGTCATAAAGTTATTTTTTCAGTACCGTCGTAACTTCGAACGGTCACTGAACAAGGCAGTTGCTAAATGAGGTCTACCTGTACTTCAGCTTTCCTTTGCTTTCCAGACCTGCAAAGGTTGTAAACGCAAGGATTGGTTGTAAAGTTACTTCTTCATCACCATCGTGGCTGCAAACAGTCGCTAGACAAAACAGTTGCTAAACAAGGACTACCTGTACTTATTGGGAGCAAGGGGTAACCTGGAAAAAAAAAAAACTCCAGAGAATTAGTTTGTTTGGTTTGGGGCCTCCTCCATCCTGGGGAAATGGCTGATGCTAGAAATATGGACTGCCTTTTTGGCAGGGCTTTTACAGGGAGCAAGAACGTAGCTGACCAGCATCCTGAACTTGTGCTGTCCACACTGTAACATGGAATTGCATTTCTCACGATTTTTTCTTGGCTAAAGTCATGGGTCTTATTTTGGGGGTGACGATGTGGATGCGTCCTTTTTTGGCCAAAGGCTTTTCTTGTCCTTTGAATGGCCCCCAGAATGGGCAGAACGAGCACAAAGGTGTGGGTGGAGCCAAGATAAAAATAAAAGGCGATTTAGTTTGCTTTGAAAATGAAATGCTCTCAGGTTAATGCTTAATGTGGCAGTTCTCCATGCCTTTAATCATTTCCCCCTTTCAGATACATGAAAAGCTACAAGGTTTGCATTTACAATGCAATTTTGCAATGTGTTTGGAGGGACTTACCAACAGATAAGACCACCACCCTTGGATTTAAGTTTGTGCGGTGCCTCTGTTTACTTGCTTGAAGATACAACAAGCCAATATGTGCTCCTCTAAGACTGTGCAAAATAATGTGGGTGGATCCTCTTGAGGGATGTTATTGCAGCATCACAAGGAGCTTGCTAGCCATTTCTCAATGATGGAACCTGTTTCTCCACTTCCATCTGGAATATTTTGTCACATCCCTGCCAGAAAATAACTTGTCTGCCTAAAATGGAAAGCAGTTTCTTTTTTGCCAGGCATGGTTCTCACAGATTAGCATGAATTTGTTAAGAAGAAAAGAATGTGGTTACAAGAATTCTGCCAATTGAATTATTTTCCCAGCTACAACAAATGTATCATAAAGTACATTAGGGTGGAGTTTTCCTTATTTTTTACTGCTTTTCTGCCAACCGGCAAAGTAGCAGATCTAATAACAAAGAAGGTTGCAAATTCCATAATTTAATCTGGCCACGTGAGAAGTTCTTCTGTAGCTTGGTCCTGAATGTCCCTGCGTTTAGTTCCAGTGGAGAATCCCCAAGTTCAGGGCTTGTGAGCAATGGAGAACTATGTCTCTCTGCCCATAGTATCCTCAATAGGTGTCACTTGTTTGGAGTGAGGCCCCCTGAGGGGCAAAGACCAACTACTTTTTCAGATTCAAAAAAAGTTGGGTGCAGAGTTGCAGGGAGGTTTTAAAAGCACCATTATCGGCCGAAGATGGAGCTGTCCAACAATTTTGAACATCGCGGTGAAAATAATGTTCTGTGTAATGGAGCCAATCAAATATTCTTAATTTGCCTTCTGATAGATTTGCTATTAAATGCAATGGAGACTTCATACTTAAGTTATGGTTATTCTGTGGAATTTTTGAGAGTTAAATAACATAATGGTGGGTAGAATATTACAGGCAGAGTGGAGATGGAGCAAAACCCACATAATGCATTTTCAGAAGCATCTTTTATGAACCCCAGGGAACCAAAAGCAAGAATTCAAAACCTGTTTCTTTACTGATAAGTTGAGCATTATCAATAATGAGGTAGAAAAGCACTGATCAATTCTTTCAAATTCTTGCATTTTTAAAAAACTCTTAGTATTCTTGATTCAGGCACATGTAGGTACAGAGTGTTTATTAGGCTTCAGTGGAGTGGCTTGGTTTTAATCACAGATCCCAAGAAGATTAACTGGTGAAGAGTTGTTCCTAACAACAGTAACTGGAATGGGCAAACTCCAGGCTTTAATGATTATAAATCTGAGTCTGTATTTAAAACTAGACAAATGTCATCTTAATATCTAAGATGACAGTACTTCCCAGGCTTCCATTACAGAGTAAACACAGCTCTTTAGAAATGAATATTTTGTGATCCATTTTAGGACATGAAACACCACGGAGGTTGGATCAATAGTCCTTTAGAGGTGGTTGGACTGCAATGCCCATTGATCCAGCTAGCATGGTGGATGGCAAAACGTTGAGAGGAATGGGAGTCCAACCCCCTTCTGAAGAAATACAGGTTACCTACCCCTGCTTTAATTGAACACGTGCCATCTTAACTAGCTTTGCCGAAGTTGGAGCTCTCCAGATGACTTGGCTTTCAAATTCCAGGTTGTCTGAGACTTCTGGGAGTTGGAGACATGCACATCTGTAGACAGCCAAGTTGGGAAGATGAACCTTAAGAATAGGAGCTGTCCCTCCCCGAGTATTGTTGTATGTCCTTTGTCACAATCAGATTGTATGGTTGAACATCTTCCTCCTTTTCTTCTCCTTGTTCTGGGTTTAGATGATCCAAGAGAGCAGTCATTTCCCCACTCTAATGCAGCGAGCCTCCTGGATGCTGGCAGTGCCGCTGAAGGAGCAGCGCTATTTCCGCAGCCCAAGCAACTCCATTGGAAACAACTACACCCCGACTGCACGGGACCTGAAGATGAAAGATCTGCAGAAGGTGGTTTCATCTGTCCGAATGAAAAATGCCCCTGGGTCCGCCAAACAGAAAGCTGAATATCCACGTATCCTACCAGGTTCAACATAGAGATCAGGAAACTATCTTGGGGAGGTGGTTTCTATCTCCTAGCAGGGACAACCCTGGTAATTTTTCAGCTTAGCATCTTGCTTTCACTTGAGCAGGGCTACTTTTCAGCCCTTTGAGGTAGGTCAGATTAGGAAACACACTCAACAGGAAGATCAGAACTCTACTTTATTGAGATAGGCTATGGTAACAGTAATCTTGCAAGTCTGATTGTGCTTCTCCTCCCTCCCTCTTATACCCCAGTGAGCCAGGCAGGAGCCAGCCTGAGCCTCTTCCTAATACTATTTCCTTTCCCGGGACTTAAGGAATACTTCTGTCCTCTTTACTTACAGAACAGTTGTGAACATTTGCTTCAAGGCCGCCACCCTGGAGCTGCAGTTTGCAAAATCTTATGCCTTTTAATAAAGTGTGTTAGACTGAAAAGGTGCTCCTGGATTCCTTCTGATCAATGGCTAAAAGGCTTTAAATATAGTGAGAAAGGCTACACTAGTTTTGCTCAAAATATCTCTCAAAACATAAACTTTGGGGAATGCTAGAACTGGTGGATTAAGTTAAGAAGATCCACACTTTAGCCCGGATTTACAAGGATTACGTTCTTTGATTTTTTCCATAAATCTGGATTAGCCTTTCTTTTTCTTCTTTCTTTGGCTGGTGTTTTTCTTTAATGGGATCTCCTAGCTGCAAAGGAATATGCTCCATCGGAAAAGAAGATGAAAATGTATGTAAAAAATGCTAAGGGTGGATATGACAGGTATTGTAATGTTATCACCTTTACGCTTATTCAGTAGATACGGTTGAACAGGTTATGGCTCCTTGAATAAGTCATGTCTGACTAAATTCACACAACAGTCTCAGGCATCAACATAGTTTACAAATCATAATGCATAGGTTCACAGGCTCACTAAGACATAGTTCATTTAACCATGGTTTGTTGAATAAACCACAATTGGCTAGCTTAGCCCAGCATGCTGAATCAGGAAGCATGGTGTACAAGGCCTAATGGCCGGTTTGCACAATGTACTAAGCCAGAGCCAAGCAAACTGTATTGTGTCTCCTTGTAAGTAACAAGCATAGTCCTTTGGGGGGTTTAGGACTCACATGTTGACTGTGGTTCATTTCAGGGCTGAAACCACATCCCAAGTGTGCAGTTTAGATGTGCTGAGTCTGGATATTAAAGTGGTGGACAATGGAATCCCCCATTATTCTGACAGCCATCCTCTGACTCCGGAGGAGCAACTTGTTGTGATGCGTCAGCATGAGGAAGAGATCAGCAAAGGAGAAAAGGCACCCACAGAGGAAGATCTGGAGGTCATTAAGCCATTTCTGAGATGTGGTTAAAAAGTGGTCTTTTAAAGCATCTTTTATTAGCAGGCTTAGATGATACAGAGCCACATGGTCCCAAAGCTTTCTTTAGCTTTGTCATCTTCACTTGGGAAGCCATTTCATTCGGTGCTCAGCTGAACTCTGAATGGGCAGAGCAGGTGGGTTGTACCCACATGCCTTGATAGCTGGGAGGGGGGATTAACCAGGGGGGCTACAAGTCCCCTTTTCTATAGCCCTCAGAGGCTACCTGTAAACAGAGGGGATAGTTTTTCCCCATTTTGCAGTAGGAAGCCCATGGGGGGACTGTGAGTTCGATATACTTAACTAAGATCAAATCACTTTCTTTTGGTCAGTGACCAATTATATGTGCACATACATGGGAAGGCATAAATCACCACATTTATCTGAGATACACAATGAAAGTGAATTAGGGAACTTGTATGCCACCCAGAGTCACTCACTGAGATGGGTGGCTATAGAAATCAAGTAAATAAATAAATAAAGCTGTCTTTTACCAATAAAGGGACAGCAATACACTTTTTTTTCCTAATCCGAGAGGCCATTATACAACGTTTGGCCCCTTTGATGGATATTTCTTAGCCTGAATTGGCAGGCAGGATGATCTAAGGATTGTAATCCTTGTTACTGATTTTTTAAAAAATATATATTTTTGGTCTTTTGCAGAGATACTGTTATTATATCCACAAAGGCATTCGGAAAGACATGTTGGCGCCACAGGATGAAAAAGTGATGAACAATATTTTGATCCATATTCCAAATCATTTTCTTGTCAACCCAGATCTGGAGGAATTATTGAATGGTTTAATGGAAGAAATTCAAAGTGATTACCAGCTTTGGCTCATGAAAAACATTGGTGAGTGGAAGAGAGTGTCATTGGACAAACAAAACAAATTGTGAACTTTTTTGCATCAAAAACATTTGCTTCCTCCAAGTAGAACCCTAGAATTCAAGTCTTGCCTTGGAATTTTGCCTGGATGCGTCATAGGTGCTGAATGCTCAGGTGGCTAAACCATGGCTTGATTAATATGTTGGGTAAATGAAGATCAGGTTCACCCCACCTTCTAAGCCATAAATCATGGTTTCTAGCCACAGTGACTAGAATCATACAACACACTTCACCCATGTCCAACCAGCAGCGTTAGGAATTCATGCAATGTCAGAATGGGTTTGTCATTTTTTGCATGGCAAGATAAAGTGGTTGATTGTCTTCACCTTTGAATTAACAAGGTTAACTAGACTTAAATATTTGTTTGTTTAGATTAATGAGAACCAAGGGTCACTTTAAATTATGGAATTTGCCTATTTTTCTGGCTTCAACTCTCACATGTTGGGAGAGAAAAGAAGCTTCTGAGTCTAAGTGTGCAGAGTTGGGTGAACACAATCAGTTTTTTTGCACAGTTCCACCCAGTGCCTATCAGTGCATTTGATTACCGCTTGGGTTCAGATTGCGTTACTGTTTAATTACTTTTCTGATTGTTGGTTTGCTTCCAATACCTTGTTCTTCCCATTTTGCACTAGTTGATTACATCTTGATGGATCCAGATGAGAGAAAAAGACTCTTTATACACAGCATTCCCCAATCCTTTCCCCAGCGAGTGATCCGGGCTCCGGTTCCCTGGCACAAAATGTATCAAGAAGCAAAAAACTGGAACGAGAGCCACCTCTTCACAGTTAATCCTATGATGCTCACTCTGCAGCATCTCTGGTTTACTGAGTGAGTCATCTTGCTTAACAATATTTGTTGCTATCCATAAATACTCTTCAAGGTAGGCCTCTTGTTATAATTACCGCTAATCCTCAGATCGCTATTAAATTGAGTTCAGATGCACCTGGCTTCCCATTGGATTAAGTTTGGAAAGTTTGTGTGACATGCTAATCCAACTTGTGGTTAGGCCTGGCATGTCATCCGAACCTAGACCATGGTTAAGTTGCAATTAAGAAGATAAAGTGCTTTAATTGCAAGATGTGTAAACTCAGCAAAATTATTATTGCATGAGGTCATCATAACTGTGACTTTGTGCCATCCAGGTTTTCTGAACTGAGATTTGTTCATACCAAGGAGATCCTTGATGGTGATTTGCCCCTTCTGCCAAGTGAATTTGAAGAGTTGATCCAAAGGCAGTGCCAGGAAGCGCATGACATCCTTGAGACCAGGTTAGAAATGTTAAAGCAATGCCAATTACTGCTGTGGACTGGGAGAATTTTCTCCTGAAGATGATCCTACTGAAGCAGTTTCAACTCTGAACATCCTCTGCCACATTCTTGTTCCTTGGTGGCAGGAGCAAGAACCCACTTCCCAAACCCAGAGGCTGAGTTCAGAGGATATGGGGTAAGCCATGGTTTGTTTAGCTGCATTTTATTGTTTAGCCCATCATTGGTGAGGTTCATACAACACACTAAGACATAAACCATGACTTATAAGCCACATTAGCTGAGTTCATGCAGAGTGCTAAACCAACAGCAAACAAACAGTATTATGGCTTAGGGGAATGTGGATCCACACCACACACTTCTTTTCCTTAAGTAAAAAAAGGAGGCCAACTAAATACAGTAAAGGTTATGTAACACCTTAATGGCATTTTCTTTTTATTGACTTTTTAAGATATATTTATAAGTAGTATATTTGTATTTCACTCTCAGGTTTTCCAACTCCATGTTGCATTCTGTGCACTGCCACTCATACCACAAGCCAGTAGAGTAAATCAGCACCTTTTGCTACAGATGGGCTGAGGCTTTGTCTCAGGCTTTGTCTGAGGCTTGCTACAAACTGAGGCTTTGTCTCAAGCATGGATGCATGCAACTTCCAACCCCTTCCAAAGGCTTTGGAAGTGATTCTGGAGCCTTCCAAAAGTTGCCACCAAGATTGATGGATGGCTGGATGGATGGATTCACTGACCATTCATTCATTCATTCATTCATTCATTCATTCATTCATTCATTCATTCATTCATTCATTCACTCACTCACTCACTCACTCACTCACTCAC